CATTGCATGTTGTTCTGAAGCAAACCAACTGGTACGTGCGTCCATTGCAAAGAGCTCGTTCAGAGTCCATGCGTCTCTTTAACCTTTTACACCACTAAGACTGACCCTGACCTAAATTTAATTTGAATTAAATATTCATTATTGATTTTCATGGTAGTTACATTTTATCCATGTCTGAATATAAATAATTCAGTTTGAAGTGGGACATGAATACATTCATCTTTGTCAAAAAGGAAGAAATGATAGCATATAAATGCACAGAAATTATTTCACAGTAACCACAGTAAAAATTTGAAAACAAAATTAAAAACTGCACGAGAAAAAAGTCTAGCTTCATAATTGTGAGTATCGTAGAAACCAAATATTTGCTTACCCTAAGATCTTCTGATGGAGCCCTTACCATTTTAGAAAGCAACCTAATGTTGTTGTTTTTTAGGGTACAGTCACCCTGCATTTAGATCTTTGGACTTTGTAACCATACCATATTTGACCAATTTAAAGCGAGCAGTGACCTCGCTGCGAAAAAGCATGATTTTTAAGGGGTCAGGTATTCCTCTCAAATAGTTGACATTTTTTGTTCTCCATGTGCTAGGGTTGGAGGAACGATACATATTTCAAGAAACATGAATTTCCACAGCACACATTAACCACTTTTACAATGTATACATGTAACAAACACAACAATATGCAAATTTAATTATAATACATGTATAATTACATTGTGTATATATGTACCATCAGAATTTTGATGTAAATATGATTAGGGTTCAAGGAAGAAGATTTCTACAGTCATATCTTTCCACCACCCCCACCCACTCCTCATATATTAGGAATGTGCCTGTAGCCTTTAAAGGGGAGCCTTCCAAGCCCAGGGATTGCACCAAAGAATCATGGGACACTCTAGTGTATGTTGTTTACAATGTTAATCTATCTTTTGTTATCCATTGTAATTTTAATCTAGAAAGTAAATTTGTTGTGAGATTAGGCTTAACTGGAGGTGCCCTTTTATCAAACTTGCATGCATACATTTTGTAATTAATAAGCTTAAAAACTTTTTCTGTTCTCAAAAAAATTGGTAGGTAAGGTTACCATGGTTACATAAACATGAAGGAGTATACATGCTGCATAATGTTTACCTTTGATGAAAAGAACAGTTTCACATAATCCATGTCATACAGATGACCCCAAAATTTCTATGCAAATCAACTGGTCATTCCACCAAAGTTGCATTTTCTTATTTTCATGTACTTTGTTCCATGTAGTGAATGACTAGCACTTAGTTATATTAAGGATATATATTCTGAAAATAATTTTTGCACATGATTATATTCTCACAGTAATACACAAATCATTATTAGTTTATTAATTATGAATTTAAATATTAAAAAAAATCCCTGCTTACCAATCCAATATTTTATTTTGACTATTACTGGAAATTTGTTTTATTTGACTAGAACCAGGTGAATATTGATTACATCAATTTATCATCTCTATTTCATTTCAGTTGATTGTCTCACAACAGTGAGTTTTACACTGTCTTCCTTGTCGCTGGACTTTGACTGCCTGCTACCAAGATGGCAGAAGCACATGCTGCTGTTGCTTTTCAGTTTACTGTCACCCACGAAGGGATTGATGTCAATGTTAACCATGAAGCTTTGAAAGCTGTCTTTGAAAGTAGTAAAAGATCATGGAAGAAGAGGTGGGCTCGATTCAGGGTAAGTCTTTGCTGTTATGTCTTCCCTTTGGTGTTTCTTTTTTGGTGGTTTCACAGTAAGACCTCTATTATTACAACTCAACATCTCTCTGAACTAATATCTTGGTTCCTTTGGTGTTTCTTTTTTGGTGGTTTCACAGTAAGACCTCTTATTATTAAATCGCAACACCTCTCTGAACTAATATTTTGGTTCCTTTGGTGTTTCTTTTTTGGTCGTTTCACAGTAAGACCTCTATTATTAATTAAAACTCAACATCTCTCTGAACTAGTATCTCAATCCCTTTGGTGTTTCTTTTTTGGTGGTTACACAGTAAGACCTCTATTATTAAAACTCAACACCTCTCTGAACTAATATCTTGGTTCCTTTGGTGTTTCTTTTTTAATGGTTTCACTGTAAAATTTCTATTTTTAAAACTGAACACCTCTCTGAACTAATATCTCAATCCCTTTGGTGTTCTTTTTTCGGTGGTTTCACAGTATGAGCTCCATAAATGTACACATCTCATGGAAGCCATAGCAAACACGGAGCTGAACAATGACTGACTCATTAAAGTGAAAATATTTATTGTTTTGCATTATTTGCCAGCATAAATACAATGTACTTACATATATATGTCTATTTTTGTTTAAGAATCACTTTGTGACAACTACATATCCAGCCAGCCCAGCAAGTTGGCTAGCTGTTGTTACTGTTATTATTGCATGTTTGTTAGCCAAAATTGATC